GAAAATCGCACCGCATCTCATGACGTCACACATGACTACACGAGAGTGAATTGGAGAATGAAATATGGGAAAGCCGTTGGTATAAACCAATGGCTTCTGTTACCAATTATAGACATTTAATTTAAGAATATTTGTAGAGATGCCATAATTGATTTTGTTTAAGGTTGGGTTTTAACTGTTTGATGTATAATGCTTCAAGTATTTTTAGTTTTTGTCTATTGTTTTCATGTCGAAGTATAGTTGTGTTTTCGACAAGTATTTTACGGAATTGTGTGTGCGTGCAGGCATGTTGTTTTAAATGCCTAAAAAATGTTAGAGTTTTCATTAAAATGTAGTGTCAAGCGTCGTGAAAGCGAGTTTGTGGTGTGACCAACATAAATATTATTTAATTCGTTGGAAATACACTCTCCCAAAGGGCAATTTGAATTTATAAACTATGTATTTTTTTTGCAAATCGCTAACTGGGGAGAAGAATCATTTTGAAGTATTAAGTTGGATATACTAGATTTAGTGTAGTATATGATTAATTTAATTTTTTTTCTAGGGTCTGTAGTTGATATATTAGAATTTACTAAATTTTTTTAGTATTTTTTCATCTTGTTTATAATTAGTATGCATTTGATTACGATATAGGAGATTAATATATTTGAGATCAGTAGAAGCAGTATTATGTACAATTTTGCTTATTATTGAGATTTCTAAGAAAGCATCTTATTTGTTCATCAACTATATAGTTTGGAAAGCTATTATTAAGTGTCTGTTTTATATTCTTTAGTTCACTGTAAAAAATTGTTGTTTTGTGGATGAATTAGTTTCTGCACGATGTATTAGATTCTTTATAATTGCTATTTTGTAGTAATATGGGCATTCGCTCTTGTAGTTAAGTGTACATGAATTTATGCTTGTAGGTTTTTTGTATGGCGAAATAGTAAATTTGTTATTATTTGTGTTTATCAATATGTCAAGGAAGGGATTTTATTATTAGTATTGAGTTCATATGTGAATTTAAGGACAGAATTATTTTGGAACCGTTTTTGAAGTTGAATTATTTCATCTGTATTTTTAACTAATATAAGAATATCATCAACGTATCTTAGGTAGATTGATGGTTTTTAAAATCTGTAAATAATATTTATTTTCGAGATTCGAATAGAAATTGCTAAATGTCGGGCCCAATACTGAACACATGGAGACACCATCACGTTGTATATATATATTTTTATTATGATCGAAGAAAGGGACTTCAATAGATTTTACAAGTTAATAGTAGTTTTTTTAATATATTAGGATTAATTTTAATTTTATATTTATTTAAAAATATAATAATAATATATTTTTGTTATTCTGAATATCTTTTTAGTGAATAAATATTTGTTTAAATGTCTATATAACAAATTTGAAGATGTCTTATGATATTTGGAAAATTTAGCTAAACCATATACAGCATGATAAAAGAAATATCCAAATGTTGGACAATTTTGTTTTTATTTTTGATAACGGTACATGATCAAACATAATAGACATTATTTTTCTGTTATATTTAACAATATATTTTTCAATTTATTATATATATATATATATATATATATATATATATATATATATATATAGGAATAATATTGGTAAAGTTTGTCACATAGCTGATAGGTTGTTCGTAAAAAAAATGTAAAAATGTTGACGCAATAAATAGATTAATGTTGGATGCATTCAATACCCACTCTCGGTCGATGATAAGAAAGTGTATTAATCTATCTCGCAAGCCATAAAAAGTAAGGCCACGAAGTTTACAACGTCCATTTTGATTCAGTTTATTTTAGTGCAACCAGAGTCTTCTGTCTAGCTGTGTATGTTTCCATTTGTCGGCGATTTGTGTAAAATTCACACACTCAGGTGTTAACTTTTATAGATTTTACCAAGGCAACTTGACGCACCGACGATGGAACTGTTTTTAATTTCATTTGATTATATCTTTACAGTTTCCTCTATTGAAGCTTTCCCGTCCATTTCGTGAGATAGATTTCGTTCACACATTCGTCAAACGTGATTTCCGCTGTCTTCAAATACTTCGTTGGCGAAAATGCATTCAACTGGGTAGATGACGAGTTGCACTTCCTCTGTCTGGCTTAGTTTTCAAAGACGGTGTCGTTTTTCGCTTCAGACTCAAATCGCATAAATTTCAAAGTCTGAGAATGAATTGGTTAAAGGATGGGTAAAACGAGAGCGAATTAATTAGAATGGAGGGGACCGGCCTTAAGTCAAGGACTGATTTGTTTGATTTATTTTTTACGGCTTATCAACGCTTTGTGGGTTATTTAAATCCAAAACATATATTTTATTATAAAAATAATTCTTTTTTTATTGCGAGTGAATATTGCATTAAAATTTTCTGGAGATAATAATTTTTTGAGATACAAGTCTTACTATTTAGCCCATAGTTTAGGGCGGAGGGAGAATAAATGGATTCATATCTTGACTAAGAAATTTGCGAGTAGGTGAATGTAACGAACTGACTAGAATTCGAACTCTGTCTTCCGATTACTCATTTCGAGTCGCTATCCATTACAGACCAGATGATGACCCATTTTTCAAGGGGGCATTAATTGATTCTCACTGGTAAAATTGTAAACTTGATGAAAAATAATTTTTATTATATCACAAATACATTTTAAAAAAATTTTCCCGATTGTCGCCTACAAACTGGACGCCTCAACGTGGTGCAATGGTTAGCACGCTTCTCTCGCTAGAACAACTACAAATGAGTAGTGGATTCGATCCTCACTGGCTGCTCCATACTTTCGGCTTTGTGTCACATCTAACAGACCACGTTCCAGACCACAACAGAACGTGGTCTGGGAGAGGAAGCAGAGGGAAGGAACTTGTTGAGAACTGCAAGGGATAGAGGGAGCTGGAGAGCCATGATCGCCTACGCCCTGAAATGACATGGCAAATAAAAAGAAAAAGAAAGCCACATATAAGCTACGCTTAGAAAGTCACCATAAGTCAGGGAAAGGCTCGAGTAAAAATATGCATATTAAAATTAGTTGATATGAATTTCACGGGTGGGAGGAGATAAATGATTTTCTTCTAGAGGCATCCCCAAAAGGCATGTAATTTTTTTTGCTTTTAATTCCATTTTTATTTCAAATTTCTCTCTCTCTCTCTCTCTCTCTCTCTCTCTCTCTCTCTCACTCACTCACTCTCTCTCTCTCTCTCTCTCTCGTTTATTCCAATTAGCTTAACAAGTTAAGCCACATATTAGAAAATTTATGAGTAAAATTTAATGCTAATTTTGTAGTTTTAATAATAAGTACAATAATAATAGATCTCCTGATGCGATTCCAGGGATGTCTCACATGACTTGTGAATCTAACTGATTGGAAATGTTAACATATAAATGTTTTGTTTTGATAAATTAAGACGGATGGCAGGAAACATCCCTTTCGGCCCCACGGATTTACTTGTGAGTCACCGTAGCCAACTGGACATGTTTTTTAGGAGTTAGCACACTGTGCATCTCTGCTCATGGGCGGGAGCAGTTTAGGAGCATTATGGGTTAATGTTCCTAAACGTAGGGTTTCGTGAGCGTTGCATCTTTCTTGGAAAAATAATAATGATTCTTCTTCTTCTTCTTCTTCTTCTTCTTCTTCTTCTTATTATTATTATTATTATTATTATTATTATTATTTACGTTGATGCTGATTAATTGGATGTGTTAATCTGTAATTTTTTTAAATCATTTCATCCCAAGAAAGGCAACAAAGCCACTAACACGCAGGGGGGGGGGTTACAGAGTTTGAAATAATATAATAAAAACACCATTAATGAGCGAGAACAATAAAAGAACAACAATTAAGAAGACAGAAGATAACGATTGACAGTGCATTTAAAATGTTTGAAGATCAAAGTTGACTGGAAAACAAGGAGCCAAAAAAGGGTTCCACGAGCGAGATGTGCTAGAAAAGAAACTGTTAGCATAGAACTTACGGTTACATGAAATGGCTAGCCATTTCAACTGTAAAATAATGAGATCTTGGCGTCAATCTAGTACTGCGCTTAAATTTATAGATTCTAAGTACTATAAAACAGAGTTCATCAGAACAATTACCATGAAAGTATTTATAGAAAAGGCACAGGGAAGCTACATTACAGCAGTGGGGAAGTGACTGAAGACAAGATGCCAAATCAGGACCAATGACATTGCTGATTCTTCTTTGGATTTTATGAAGGATCTCTAAATATATAGCAGGAGCACAGGACGATATGCGGCAGCAATAGTCATGAACGATTGGTAAACTTATAAATATGTAAGATAGATCATTTTTCTCTCCAGAATGTACCACGACACAGAGAATCAACTTTCCTAACAGTAGACCTAGCAATTGATTCGATATAATCTTTCCCCTTCATGTCAGCAGAAAAGGTTAGCCGGGGAAGGAGTAATAAGTTACTCTCCTGGTTTGGTTTGTTTTACGGTTTATCAACCTTAATGGGTATTTAATGCCGACAAGATTCTTACTGCTAGCAATTTTTTTTTTCAAAAATGTATTGCTGCTAATATCTTTTTCCAAAAATGTATTGCTGGTAATATTTTTTCTTTCAAAAATTCTATGCTGGTAATAATTTTACAAAAATGTATTGCTGGTATCAAAACCGATTTTTACACTTTTACAGTGTTTTGACCCCAGTTTGGGGGTTAGCTATTTGCTCATAGATGGGACCCTAACAGGTGCTATCACCCTGGGTCACGGTGGACCTTGGAACACCAGCAATTAAGAGGTAGTTCCATGCTCCTCAAAACCTCCTGATCAGATAATAATTGTTTAGATAATAATGGTTGAGTGATACAAATCTTACTAATTAACTCATAGCTGGGGTAGAGAAGAGGTGGATTCATACTTTTCCCAAGGGTATTTGCACGTAAGTAAATATAATGAACACAACGGGAATTGGAACTCGGCTCTCCGATTAACAATTCCGAGCCATCATTCATACATCCAATCTTACAGCACCTGGTATTCCCAAGCGGTTACTCATCTAGGTACTGACCACGGCCGAGGTTGCTTAACTTCCGGGATCGTACAGGGACTGGTGTTTTAACGTGATGTGGACGTAAGCCTTTTATGGGAAGGAAAATGCAACAAATTGGTATGAACACTACTCAAACCCGGTTGTGGACATAGGACCCGTAACAATTTTACGGGACTTTACTGTACACACAGATAGAACAATTGATGCTAATCGCCCAGAGACAGTGGTCAAAGACCACAAAAACAGAATGTGCTTTTTTTTACTGAAATTGCAGTTCCTGAAAATCTTCAAAAAATCTATCAAAATGCAAGGATCTTGAAGTGAAAAACTAAAAAAAAAATGTAGCACAAGAAGGCGTCAGTAATTCCAGTTGTGGTTGTGACTCTGGGTTTTTATTGGAAAAAGGTTCTGATAGAATCAGTGGAGAAATCTCTGGCAGCCCATGCGCTACAAAAAATGCAAAATACTTGTCCTCACAAGTACAGCTCATACCTTACGTAGGACTCTATCTAAGTAAAATGTATGTGGTCTTAGGTTGTTTCATTTTTATTACAAAAATGTTCAGCGGAAAATGTCACGTGTCATTTCTAACCTCATATATCTCGTTGGAACCCGGAAAGAAATGATTATACAACAAAAATCAAAGGAAATAATAATAATAATAATAATAATAATAATAATAATAAGAATAATAATAAGAAGAAGACGAAGAAGAAGAAGAAGAAGAATAAGACGAAGAAGACGAAGAAGAAGAAGAAGAAGACGAAGAAGAAGAAGAATAAGAAGAAGACGAAGAAAAAGAAGAAGAAGAAGACGAAGAAGAAGAAGAAGACGAAGAAGACGAAGAAGAAGAAGAATAATAAGAAGACGAAGAAAAAGAAGAAGAAGAAGAAGAAGACGAAGAAGAAGAAGACGAAGAAGAAGAAGAAGAAGAAGAATGACATGGCAGTCCCTGCAGATTGTAATATATCTTTGAAGATCTTCAGAAAGAAAAACTATCAAAATACAAATATCTTAAAGTGGAAATCTAAAAAAAAAGAATGTGGCACATGAGGACATCAATAATTCCAATTGTAGTTGGAGCCCTCGGATTGATTGAACAAGGTTCTGATAGACTCATTGAAGGGATTACTGGTAGCCCCTGCCTTAAAGAAGTACAAAAAATTGTACTCACAAGTACAGCCCACACCTTATGAAGGGTTTTATCTCTATAAAATATGTGTGATCTTAGGCTAAAAAATATTCAGTGAAAATGTCATGATGTCATTTCTGGCCTTAGGTTTCTGGTTGGGACCCGGAAGGAAATGCGTATACAACAGAGATCAAAGGAAATAATAAGAATAAGAATAAGAATTTTCTTCTCTTAGGATACTCAATACTCACCAACAATGAATACAAACACCGTCATGACAGGGTAGGTCAGTATCTGTACTGGAAGGTCTGTCATCACTTATGGAATAAAAACAGCTGCAAACTGGTATGAATATCATCCTGTATCTGTAGTTGAGGGATCAGATGTTACCATCCTCTGGAAATTTTTCTATCAACACAGATCAATCAATACGAGCAAATCGTCCAGATATCATTATCAAAGACTGAAAAAAAAAGTTTGCATACAGATTGACATGAGTTTGCCAAATGACAAAAGCATCTCAGCGAAGGTTTTTTGAAAAATTGAGTAAATACAAAAACATGGCGATGAAAATAGAATAATTATGGCGCTTTAAAACTTAATCTGTTCCTGTTGTGGTTGGAGCTTTGGGTCTTATTAAGAAAGGAACCCAAGAACAAACCAACACAAAATCCCTGGTGCACGAACTCTCCAGGAAATCCCCAAAATAGTTTTTACAAGCACAGCTCATATTCTGCAAAGAGCTGTGCCCATTTATATATTTTTTAAATAGTTGTTTTTTGTTTAATTAAGTATAAATTTATTCTATTTTCATTTGCTCTATGACATTAGCTATGATCCGTCATGTGATTAGAAAACAAATGCAGGACCAAAATAGAATTTTTTAAAATAAAAAAATACTCTGTATTTACCCGAGCTCCCAACAAAGTGGGTTGTGGCACAAGACCAGTTTAATATGGGGCTTTCCGAGCGCGTACGCTCGGGCAAAGATTCCTCGTAAACACCGTATACACGTGGTCGGGTAGTTGTCTATCTCCCCAGATAAAATTCTGTTCTTCGGCATAACTTTGTCTGAGTTCCTCCCTGCCAAGAGGCAGAGAGGTCGACAAGCAGAGCTAGGCAGCAGACCGCCTGACTCCTTTGAACTTTAATATATATAATAAAATTACTCATTGTTTATAATCGTTATTCAAATGATAAATACACTAAGGGATTTTAATATACAAGACTGTTTTCACAATAAAACTGGTATTAATGTAAGTTAATTTAAATATTTTCTAATTAATTTAAATTAACTGTTTTATTTGATTTAAATTAATTTAATGATCAAATGTTAAAATTTTCAGTATTGATTAAAAGTTTAAGGTTGAGTTGTTTCTTAAGGCTTATCAACTTTTTGCAGATTACTTAAAGCCAAAAAATATTTTTAGATTGTAAGAATGTTTTGGGAAATGATAGTGATTTACTGATACAATTCCTACTAATTAACCCATAGCTGGGGAAGAAGAGTTGGAATAATAACTTTCCCAAGACGAAAACTGGGACTCGGCTCTCCATTTTTAATTCCGAACCGTTAACCATTACACACCCCCACAACCAAGCTTACAACACCTGGTATTCCCAAGAGGTCACTCATCTTGGTATTGACCAGGCTCGACGTTGATAGGTGATCGTATATTTCAACGTGATATGGTCGTAAATGCAAAATTTTAAGACTACCTGACAAAAAGATACTGCCTCATCTAGTTTCAATTGATATTGCATCATCTTAGATTAGGTTACTGTGAACAGACATAAGCAATATTAAATCATCCTCAAATTTGGAGCACTGTAAAAAGAGTTTTAGCTAATTTGAAAGATATGAAGTTGTTCGAAACAGTAGTGTTCTGTAAGTTTTTGTACATTGCCATATTATGACATTCAAAGAAACCCTGGTAATAACATTACACTAAGAGGGGTACTCATAGCATGCAATCTCAGTTCAAATATGTTGCAGCAAGACTGCAGTTCACAATGCTATCGTCAAGTACCGAGTCAATGGCTCTTATTTTGACTGAAAGAAATGTGGACGTCCCAGAAAAAAGAAAGAAAGATGATCGTATTGGCCGATAGGTTCATGCAAAAATAATGTTCTGCTTCTCATTGATACAGATTTGAGTCGTAGGACAGTTTCTCGCAGATTGGTCAATAGATTTCAAATAAGATTCTGCAAACCTACCTGAAAACCGAGGTTAACTGGATAAATGAGAAAGAGTCACCTGGCATTTACCACAAAGGATAAATATTAAACAGCGAAACACAGGGGAACAGTTATCTCTACACTGCCGCAGTTTATTGTGCGTTTGCATTATCTCAGAAAGCATCAAAGACAAAAAGATATGAGGAAAACTATAACATACAAACAATGAAGCACCCTTACAGAATGATGATTTGGGAAGCAAAACTGAAGTTAATTAAAGAAAAAAAACAACAGCTATTTAAAATTCCTTAAATGGACAAAGGTCTTCGCAGGATAGGAGCTGTGTTTGTTAGAATTTTAACGGGGTTGATGTTGAGTTGTGTTAATGTCAGTTACCCCGTGTTACATGTATTAGTATTTGATTGAGGATTCCTTATCGCTTTTTTATACTGAAAATGAACTTAATAAAACGTATCACATCACACCTTACAACTGGCCGTCTAACTTCCCTTGAATATTATGTATGGGTCGTAGTTGAGCATGAGACCAACAAAGCACCAAAGATGAACTCTTTTCAAGGATTATGGAAAAAACATTCAAAAACAAAAAAAAGAAACCGTTCAGAAGAGTTGCAGAAGATTCCGAAGTCGCCTGGACAAAATTTGGTTTTTTTCCAATGGTGATTTTATTGAATAAATTTACAAAAAAGTATTACAATATATCTGTTAAAATATGTCAGTGTTATTTTCATTTTTGCGTAATTTAGACGACAATTGATCGATCGAACCATATATATATATATATATATATATATATATATATATAGTAGAGGTAAAGATCCATAGATCCGTTTTGATCTCACGCGGAATCGTTATGCCGTTTGCTTCTCCTCGTGGTTTAAATATTTTTATTTTATTAATGCAAATTCTCCCAAGCCCACTGCTGGTGAAGGGTAGGAATGGTCACTGACCACTCCCCCCGCCAGCACTGCGTTATCTGTAACTTGACGCTTGGGTCTGAGATATGGCTCATATACAATCACTGGTCCGATTGAATCGAAGACTAACTTTCCGCCATGTGTGAGTATAAATTCATTCTATCAGAGACGCATCCAAAAGCATTCTCTCTTTTTATATATATATATATATATATATATATATATATATATATTCCCACGTTTTATATATTTATTTTATTCATTTATTTTTCATTTATTGTTGCTTGGTCTCTCCGAGTAATTTAACATTGATACATATTCTAACCTTAACTATAACCATATGTTTTGTAGTTGGAAAGAAAAAAAAATGCCCCTACCTCGATAAAAATGAAAAACGTCCCTTCGCCAGACGTTAGCATGTCTCCAATGTCCTTTTGGCCCAGTGGCCTGTCACCCAACGCAATGCCACAACCTTGCTAGCATGTATGCCATATCCGCAAATAATGGATGATCACATTTTGTCCTTTCTTTCTTTTGAATAAGAATAATGGGACTTATACTAAGTTAAAACTTAGTGTTGTGTAAGTTTAAAATACTAAAAAAATACTAATAAATTCCATCCTATCCCCCTTAACGCACACATAGTGTCAGTGGGCACTGCCAACTACTTCTCCGCCCTTATCCCTCTGTTTGTCTTTTGTTACTGTTATATGTGTTATATGTAATAGGAGTAGGTAGACCCTTCTACCGCCCGGTCAACACTCCTCCCCCTTCCCCTAGACAAGCGCAGAGGCTCACACCTTGTTTCCTGTCTAAGAAGGGGTTCCCGGCTCTCT